CCTCCAGTCTGGGTGACTGAGTGATACTCCAACTCAAAAAAAAAAAAAAAAAAAATCTGAGAATTGAATACTGATTAACAACAAGAAGACCAATTACTAGATTATATTAACAGTCCAGCAATCAAATAATGAAGATGTAGCGTATAGAAGTAGCAGAAAAAACAGAAAAGACAACTTTTGGAAAGAATATTGTCCTCAAGACCTCTGTACAGAAACCTCAGCAAAAGTGCTCAAAGTGGACGAAAGCTGCCCTAGAATCAGTACATCTAAAAACAGGGTACCTGGTATATTAGTGTAACAGCCAAATTTCAGAGGCTCCCTGGTAGGAAAGTGACAAAGTTTCTCTCAGGTGTCATGCTTTTCTAATTTATTCCTAGAGGGTTAGGTTTGGGTGGTACAGAATAGCTAGGGTAATAGTGACACTAATGTCCTCTTACTAAGACCCATTCCAGCCCTAAAGAAATAGTCAATGGGCAAGACTCCTGTGGAAAAAAAAATCAGTCTATTCTACAATACATATTAAACTTGTAAGTGCCTATGGCTGGGAATGGTCCTCCTCTGTAGTCAGAAAAGAGGTGGCTATGGACTACTCAACTTTGGTTTCCCTATCGCAAATTCATTAATTTGGTTCCTGTAAGCACACATACATGTTTATTATATCTAGTAACTGGACTGTCCACCAAATATAATGATATATTGCAAAAACTCTGAATTCTGTTAGGTTCCTTTGAAGAATATATGTATATTTTCAATTGTTCTAGTAAACAGTTATCTTGGTTGAACTCAAACCCCAAATGCTGAAACCCCAGTTCAGTCCTTTTGGCCCTACCTGAGCTGCTTGGAGTCTGCCCTGTGCACATGTAGTTTAAAGGGTCAGCCAGGCAAAGATCATACCCAGAACTTGGGGTTCCTTCATTGACTCTCTCCTTTTTTAGACATTTCCCCCACTTTGCAGCTGTTGTAGTCACAATGAACTCCCTCCTTTGGTTCTTTTATTTTTTTGAGTCGAAGTCTCACTCTGTTGACCAGACTGGAGTACAGACTGGAACCCCTGCTGGGCTCCAGTGATCCTTTCACCTCAGCCTTCCAAGTAGCTGGAAGCCACCATGCTTGGCCAATTTTTCTTTATTTATTGTAGAGACAAAGTCTCACCCAGTTGCCGAGGCTGGTCTCAAACCCCTGGACTCAGGCAATCTCCTATTACCTCAGCCTCCCAAAGTGCTGGAATTACAGGCTTGAGCCACCATGCTCGGCCTTAATTTTTTAATTTATTGTAGAGATGAGGTCTTGCCAAGTTGCCCAGGCTGGTCTCTAGGCTCAGGCAATCCTCTTACCTCTACCTCCCAAAATTCTGGAATTAAAGGCATGAGCCACCACACCCAGCTATATTTTGTTTTTTTTACTGTTAGATGCAATATGCTTGAAACATAATGTTAATTAAGACACTGTGAAAAAGATCAGTCTAAGTAGATATTTTAAAATAAATGTAATATTATTGTCAAAAAGGTACAGTAGTTTCTGCTTCTGGTTAATGGCTGAGTAGTTTCTGTCAAACCAACTCTCCTCCTACAAATAACTACAAACTCTGGACAAAAAAGGAAAAACAACTATCTGATGGTACCATCAAGCAAGAAAAGAAGATAGATACTGAGAAGTTTCTGAACTTAGAATAAGGAAAAGACACTATGGAAGTTTCCCATTCTTGGACTTTAAGCTGGAGGGCAAGTCCCAATCTGCCTACTGGGTGACTAAAAGCCTAATAGAACACCTTCTGGCCTACTGGCTTAAAGAACCAAAGGAGATTTCGGGTGCGGTGGTTCATACTTATAATCTCAGCTCTTTGGGAGGCAGAGACGAGATGAGCTGTAGTTCTAGTTGCTTGGAAGGCTGAGGCAGAAGGATCACCTGAGCCCAGTAGGTCAAGGCTGTGGTGGCCGTTGAGTGTGCCACTGCACTCCAGCCTGGGTGACAGAGTGAGACTACAGCTCAAAACAAAAACAACAAAAACAAAAAGTTAGCCGGGCATGGTGGCACGGTCCTGTAGTTTCAGCTACTTGGGAGGCTGAGGTGGAAGGATCACCTGAGCCTAGCAGGCCAAAGCTGTGGTGGCTGTGAGTGCCACTGCACTCCAGCCTAGGCAACAGAGTGAGACTCCTACTCAAAAGCAAACAAACAAAAAACCCCAAATCCCAAACAAACCCAAATCACATTCGTGTTGACACATACTCTCTTATCTAAGCGTTTCAAAAGCCGTATAAAATTAGAGGACTGATGGCCGCCTCGGGGACTCTGCTCTTGACAGGTGTCCAGAGGCTACACTGCAGCGCGGCCGCTTGGGCAGGCAGCCAGTGGCGACTCCAGCAGGGGCTGGCTGCCAAACCCTCTGGCTACGGACCCCTTACAGAGCTCCCAGACTGGTCCTACGCAGATGGCCGCCCTGCTCCCCCAATGAAAGGCCAACTTCGAAGAAAAGCTGAGAGGGAGAAGTTTGCAAGATGAGTTGTACTGCTGTCACAGGAAATGGATGCTGGCTTACAGACATGGCAACTCAGGCAGCAGAAGTTGCAGGAAGAAGAAAGGAAGCAAAGAAATGCTCTTAAACCTAAAGGGGCTTCACTGCAGAGCCCACTTCTAAGTCAATAAAAAGCAAGTCCTGCCTCCCTTAAAAAAAAAAAAAAAATTAGAGGACTAGTCTCATACTATAGAAGCTAAGGACCCACAGGGAAAACTTACCAAATAACAATGTTGTTCATGACAGTAGTACCAAGCAGAGCTTCCTGCATCCCTTGGACCTCAGCAAAAGTTAATATAGTCTCCTCAGGGGGCATCAAAAATTGTTTTTCTTTGCTTCTGCAATTAAAAGAGTATTAAGAATCAGTACTTTGCACCAAAGTACTCTCTAAGTAGCCCTTCTGCACATTATTGAACTATGCAAAATAAAAACTAACCTAATACCAAGAAAAACTTAAAGCCAGAAAATGTGTGTATTCTAAACTTTCTACAGTCAAGATATATTACTTTCATATTATCTACATGGATATATTGCAGGCACCTCAAATTTATCACATCCAAAATTAAACACATCAATTTTCTCTTTCATCCCGTTTCCTTCTGCATTTCTATCCCAATGAATTATACCACCATCTACCCAGATGACCAAGAAACCTGGGAAGAAGAAATCCTTGTCTTCTTCCTCTCAATCTGACAATCACCAAGTCCTATGATTTTATTATCTCATGTCTCACAAATCTGTCTACTTCTTCCCATCATGTAACATTTTTTTTTTTTCTTTGAGTTGGAGTCTCACTTTGTCACCCAGGCTGCAGTGCAGTGGTATACTCACTGCCATCCTAGCACTGACTTGCTGGGCTCTGGTGATCCTTCTGCTTCAGCCTTCCAAGTAGCTGGAACTACAGGCGTGTGCTACCATGTCCGGTTAATTTTTTATTTATTGTAGAGACAGGTCTTGCCAAGTTACCTGGGCTGGTCTCGAATCTGCAGGCTCAGGCAATATCCACTTGCCTCAGTCTCCCAAAGTCCTGGGATTACAGGCCTCAGCCTGGCCAACATATTTCTTTTTTCTTTTGAGTTGGAGTTTCACTCTATTGCCCAGGCTAGAGTGCAATGGTATGTTCACAGCCACCACAGCCTCGACCTGCTGAGCTCAGACAATTCTTTTGCCTCAGTCTCCCAAGTAGCTGGGACTACAGGCATGCACCACCACACCCAACTATGTTCTTTGATTTATTGTAGAGACAGGTCTCACCTAGTTGTCCAAGCTGTTCTCAAACCCCTGGGCTCAGGTAATCCTCTCACCTCTGCCTCCTGAAGTACTGGGATTATAGGCACGAGTCATCGCACCTGGCCCATATTTCTAATTAAAGCAAACAATTATCTGTCTCTTGCCTAGATGACTGCAACATCATGAATAATACAATAAATAAGATCCCTGCCATCCATTAGTAGGAAAGACAGAAAAATAATAACAATGAAACATAATGAGTATATGACAGAACTGCAAGTTCAGTTTTCAACATGTTGAATTTAGTGTCTTCGATATATTTAATGAAAGGCATGCAAGTCTAGAGCTCAAGAAAGAGCTCAGAGCTAGAAATGCATGTTTGCAAAGTCAGCATCTAGATGGTCACTAATGCAATAGATACCAAGGGTGTGGAATGAGGAAAGGGTCTAGGACCCTGAGGTACATCTAATATTTAAGGGACACACAGAGATTTCAAAGAAGACTGAAGAATGAACACACTACACCTGCTGAACTCCTCCACCCCACTGACTTTGCTCCTGCCACATCTGGCTTCTACTTTTCTAACCTGCTTCTATGTTATCAGCTCATGTTGAGGCCATACCTGCTATATTACACAAACAGTCCAGAAGAACAAGATCCTCATAATCCAACTTTCTCTGAAACCTATGATAAAAATCTTTCTTTATCTAACAGTTAAAATCAACTAATGCTTTTCTTACCCTCCATCTTCTGCAAACGTCATGATTTCTATGTGTTGATCACAAAGGGTCCCACAGCTACTAACTAGTCTCTTCTTTGTTATGCCAAGTACAGCTTTTATGTTTCCTGATTTCAGTACTACTTGCTTTTCACTTTCATCATCAGAGGAACAAAGCAATGCCCTAAACCAAATATAAGAAAAAATGAGAAGTCAAGAGTAAGTCTTTAATATTAAAGGATCAGGTTTAAATTTTAAATAGAAAATTCAGTCAGGGATGTCATTGTATTGATTGCTTTTTTTTTTTTTTTTTTTTTGTGAGCTAGAGTCTTACTCTGTCGCCCAGCTGGAGTGCAGTGGCACACTTATGGCCACCACAGCCCTTGACCTGCTAGGATGCTAGGATCAGGTGATCCTTCCGCCTCAGCCTTCCAAGTAGCTGGAACTACAGGCACATGCCACCACACCAGCCTAATTTTTTGATTTATTGTAGAGACAAGGTCTCACCAAGTTGCCCAGGTTGTTCTTGAACCCCTGAGCTCAGGCAATCCTCTCACCTTGGTCTCAAATGCTGGGATTACAGGCTTGAGCCACCGCACCTGGCCTGATTATTCTTTTTACAAACAAATCTCACTTTAGACCTAGATTCAGATTCTTTCAAGACTCAAGCCTAAGTTATTACTTGCAATCAAAACAAGCTGACAGAGAAAAGGAAAAAGAAAAAAAAAATCACTCCTTGGGAATTACATACCTGATTTCTCTGATTTCCAAATTTCCCAAAGCTACACACACAAGATTACAAACATCAGGTACTGGAACTATTTGTAATACTGGAATCTAAATAAAGCAAAGTAGCCAAAAGTCATATTTGGTTATTTCATTTTTGATTAATCTAAATTTTCCAAAATTTATCACAATCTTTTGTATTCTCACTGTATCAGGATATTTCCAACATTTGAACAAATGTGATAAGGCTCAGAAAACACTCTTTATAAGCTGTAAATCCAATCAAGCTATATGCATGATAGTATTTACTTAGCATTCATTTAATACAATCTACAATTCTAACAACAGGGGAATAATTAAGTAAATTCTGGTACATGAATGAAGAGAACATTATGTAAATACTTAAAATTACACATGTATTCACTGAACAAGTATTTACTGGGCACCTCTGTGCAAAGTAGAGTGCTAAAAATTGCAGACATAATGGAGAACAAAAATAAAGTATAAACATAAATAAGTATAAAAGGGTTACTATATAGAAACAAGGAAAAATGCTTATGGGGAAAGAGAAAATTTTAAGCACATTAAGAAAATTTTAAGCACATTAAATTTTAAGAACATTAAGATTGCAACTATGTAAGATGTATGAAGGTGGATAAAGACTGGAAGGAAATACACATAGAAAAGAAGCAAAGATAATGTTGCAGTGAAGGACAAGGAATCAGATTCCAGCAGGTTTAGAAGTCAGAATAGACATAAAATTCCAAGCTGCTCCAACAGGTTGAGTGCAAAACTCTACCTCTGGATAAGCCTGTGATAAGGCAAGTAAAGCACAGTGTTAACAGGAGAGTCTAGATGGTGGATATATGGGTGCTTACTGTGTAACTCTTCTGTAAGTTTGAAAATTTTCATGATAAAATGCAGGAAAGAAACTTCATCAGTTCATAGCCTTTCTTTTTTTTTTTTTTTTTTTTGAGTAGGAGTCTCACTCTGTCACCCAAGCTGAAGTGCAGTGGCACATTCACCACAGTTTCAGCCTGTTGAGCTCAGGTGATCCTTCTGCCTCAGCCTTTCAAGTAGCTGGAACTACAGGCACATGCCACCATGCCCGGCTAATTTTTCTTGATTGATTGTAGAGATGAGGTCTTGCCATGTTGCCCAGGCTGGTCTCGAACCATGGGCTCCAACAATCCTCTCACCTCAGTCTCCAAAGTGCGGGGACTACAGGCATGAGCACAGCACTGGGCCAAGTTCACAGCCTTTCTTGGCCATAGATCCCCATTTTGGTAAGCTGCCTTTCTATATTATGCAAATGGTGTAAAGATCTCTTTTAGCTCTAAGATTCCCACTTACCTCTGTAAAGTGCCAGTTATACATTTTTTCCCACTGCCAAACGTTCAGAGGTTTCCAAAGAGAAACTACATCTTCACAGGCAGTTATGATACATGGCTCTTTAAAACCAGTTCTTTCCCACCACACAGCACTCACATCCACGGAACAGGAACATGAAGGATCCTGACACAGAATGGCAACAACAGTTATGTTAAAGGGTTACTTGAGATCTGTTTTTAAAAAGAATAAATATGAAAAGTGATGAGCCAGGTGCGGTGGCTCACACCTGTAATCCCAGCACTTTGGGTAGTGGATGTGTGAGGAATGGCTGAGTCCAGGGGTTTGAGAGCAGCCTGGGCAACTTGGCGAGACCTCGTTTCTACAATAAACCAAAAAATTAGCCAGGCATGGTGGCACACACCTGTAATTCCAGCTACTTGGAAGGCTGAGGTGGAAGGATCACCTGAGTCAAGTAGGTCAAGGCTGCAGTGGTCGTGAGCATGTCACTGCACTCCAGCCTGGGGTGACAGAGTGAGTGAGACTCTGACTCCAAAAAAAAAAAAAAGAAATGTCACTGCACTCCAGCCTGGGTGACAGAATGAGTGAGACTCCTACTCCAAAAAAAAAAGAAAGAAAGAAAAGTGATGGATTATAAGAATTAGGAAATACTAGGTAAGCACAATTAAAGATTTATTCAGCTCAAAAGGAAGCTTTGTGGGATGAGATTGGAGGCCACTATCCTATGTAATGCAGGAAAATTAAGCCAAATACCACATGTTCACTTATAACTGGGAGCTAAGCTACAAGCCTGCAGAGGCATAGAGAATGACACGGTAGACACCGGAGACTTGAGGTGAGGAGGGGAGTGAGGGATGAAAAATCACCTACTGGGTACAGTGTGCACTAATGGGGGTGACTTCTTTACCACTGTACAATACCTCCATGTAACCAAAAACCACTTGTACCCCTAAAGCTATGAATTTATTTATTATTTATTTATTTATTTATTTATTGAGTTGGAGTCTCACTCTGTCACCCAGACT